AAAATTTTATTTACTATAATATTGTAATAAATATATATATTTTACTAATACCCGCTAAAAATGCTATAACTTAAAAAAGGGGACGTCTAAAGCGGAGGCAACTCATATTTAATAATTTTTCGATTAACTTTTAGGGTTAAGGTCTTCTATATAAGCAAAATTGCCTTCCTGACATTTTTGATTAACCTACCCAAAGTAGGTTTAGACTGCCGTTTTTTGTATTTTTCGTTTTTTGCTTCGCTGGCGATCAAAATTCTACCATTTGATTGGCCGTCGATCATGTGATATACCTCCGCTTTAGACGACCCTTAAAAAGGTAATAAAAAAGATTCTCTAAAGTGCTTAAAGAGTACTAAAAAGGTAATTTGGCATACAGTATCTTAACAACACAACAAGAGTGGCCACCAATTTTATGGGTTATGTGGGTGGCACTACTAATGTTCAATAAAATTTTTATAGCGATACTGATTCATTTGCAACAACGGCGCTACCCACATGAACCTATCCGTTTACTTGCTTTAGTGATCTTTCTTTGCTTCGTTAGTATTACGCGCACAAGAAATATTTATAGACGCAGCGATGTTACCAAAACTATTTAGAATATCCCAAAATATGTACAGTTTATTTACTATCCGTACGTACAGTGCGTATGAGATATTCTAAATATTCTGGTAAATTGAACGTAACTTATCCAACACTAGTCAGTAAACACTAAATCAATATCACTATGCAATAAATTTAAATTATGCTGAATACATACGTACGTACTAATGCTAGCTATAGAACTACAGAACTACAGTATTCAAAGCTGCTGATCTTTAACTTTTTTAGAGCATGTTGCAATATTGTGACCCAACCCCTTGCAGTAGCTACAATGATTCTGCCCACGTTTTCTCTTACCATCAAGCAATAATTCATTTGTTGAACGTTGACTTTGTTGATTATTACGGTGGCTAGATAGTTTCAGCCGCTCTTTAGTAATAACCTTTCTTGGATTTCTAAGAACGACGTTTGGAGTATTCTCTTTATTTGAATCTTCGTCTTCTGAGTTATCTACTTGTTAACTTCTAATTTCTTTTTCATATACACTAGCTAAATATGTTTTAACTATATCGACAAACTCATGATCTTGGTATAAAAGGCATTTATTCATTGCAGTATGAACTAAGCCCCATATTTCTCCGTAAAACAACTGTTCATTTATAAAGCTTGCATCCTGGGTAAGTTCCTCATTATCATTATTAAGTGGCTGGAGCTATTCAAAATGCTGATTATGATCTATTTCCTGGTCTATATCAGAAACTATACTGTCATCCACAAAACGTTGTCCGTAATAATCAGGTTCGGTTAACACATCACTTTGATACATTTTAGGGATCCACCTCATATTAATGAGCTGCATGTTAAATCATGCTGCCTTTGTGATGTTTAGAAGATGAAAGTAATGTCTACAAACCAGTCCACGCTTCTGTTGTAACAAACAAGTGCAACTATATAATCCGTCAGTAAAACAAAAAACTACATGATTTACATTTTGCCTTGTAACTCTAGAAATTTTCTACACCTCTTTAATTTTAGAACAATCCAATCGCTGAAGCAGGAATTGAGCACATAACAACACACTATCTGGTTCGTCTTCAAAACTATCACTCTCAGACGGCTTATTCATGGGCATGTTTTGAATTTCCTCAATATTAGAATGGAATGAAATGTAAAATATGCTCTCCTTTATTTGACCAACCAAAAATTTTATAACATTTGGACGCAAGTAATGACTGACAAGTGATTCAATTTTTGGAAAGATCATTATAGTATTAACCGAAAAAGGGACATCTCTAGATAAATCTTCATATTGCTTCTGTCTTATGTTATCTTTAGCACTGTCTATTAGAACTTTTCCAAGTTCATGAAGAGATGTGTTGCTACTTTCAATTATGCGTTTCAAACATGCATTTTGACTTTCTATGAATGATGTAGATTCAACACCAAGCGTAAACAATGTAGTCGTAAATCCATGGGCCCACGATTTATGCCTATCATACAAATGGTTCTGAAGGTATGTGCATGCAGTTGGGTAATTGGTTGTTATTTCTTCCCAATAATGGTAAAAAACATCAGGTGTATCAGCATTATGACATTTCCAAAAAGAGGAATAAAAATCGTTAAAAGATCCACCAAGTTTTCCACAAAGTGTTTTTTTAATGTTTTCTTTCAGGTGCCAAATACAAAGAATATGATGGATCATAGGGTATTCAGTCACTATTGCACTTTCCATAGCAAGGTCTCCGTCAGTAACAAATACATTGGGTATTCGTTCTCTTGTTGCTTTTTTTGTCATATGTAAGACCCATTGGTATGATTCTATTGTTTCATCACTAAGTAAAGCCTGAGCCACTACCCTTGATTTCATATTATCATCAATAATTACAAAGAGCAACAGCGGCATATAGTATCGATTTGTTCCAGCAGTATTATCGTAACCAACTACATCACCAAACTCGTGCCACATAACAATTTGCTCTGGACTCATCCAGAAAATTCAGTAAAGGTATTTGTTTCCAGTTCCCATGTTACTTCAACAAACCACCTTGGATCATCACGTTTTTTAGCTTGCAACTCTTCGTATAATCGTGCTGCGTCAGCTTTATTGTGACTTGCTGATGGTTTGTGCTGCTGAATTTCTATATAAAGGTCCTTTGTGTAAACTGGCTGAAGGGGGTATTTTTTTTTTTAGAATCCGTTTAATTATTGTCACACCAAAATGACACTCCTTTACGTAAAACTCAATATCCTTCTTCATCTCATTTGTAAATGATTTTAGCTTTTCAAACTGCAGTGCCTTGGTACACATTTCATAGTTATGTTTGTTTACATACATACGTTGTAACAAAGACGCTTGAATTTGGATTATCTTTTGTAGGTCTTGAGAGGTTTATATGCCATTTACAACCTTTTTTTATCGTTTTTCTGAACTTTTCAAGATTCGTTTGTTGATATCTACCAAAATGACGACAATAAATCGCCCTTTTTCGCATTACATTCTCATCTTCGTTAGTTTATATTATCGTACTTCGCCCCATTACCACTTTGAAACCCATATATTCTGCATAGTTCTGTATGTATTTCTCCGCATGATCAAAATCATCAAATGACTGGCCTTTTTTTAGCGTGATGGCTTCAGCATTTTCAAATGGCATTTCACCGTCTTCAGGCAAGGCACCAGCATCTTCAAATAACATACCGTCTTCAGGCAAGGCACCAGCATCTTCAAATAACGTTTTACCGTCTTCAGGCAAGGCTTCAGCAGCCACGTAGTCATGATACAAATCATACAAATCATACAAATCAATATCACTATCGTTATTCGTGATTTCATCGGGTAGGTTTATTGAAATTCTTTCGTTGTTTTTATCTCCCATGATTATATATAAGTGTGTGTGTTAGCAAACGATCAAAAGAAGAGACATATAGTGCGTGTGTTAGTATTTTAGTAAGCGACCAAGAGAAGGGATTATAAGTGTGTGTGTTAGTATGTTATTAACGACCAAGAGAAAGGATATATAGGTACACGTTTTAGTAAGTTTGTGAACAAAGGTATGTAAGTATGCGTATCAGTGTTAGTAAATGGCAAAAAGAAAAAAAATAGATGGCTCACGCTATTTATGTAAGAATTGAATGTCATGATGTAAACAAAAATCTGGGTTTAAATTCCAAACCATGTGCGAATGTAGAAGAACAAATGTATTGTATTCTGGTTTTGAATTTAAACTCAGCTGTTTGTTTACATCGTAGCAATGGCAACTATAGATATATAGTATATATTGTGTAACGGGTGCAATTATTGCACCGTGCAATAAAATATAAATTCCATATTTTTATTACTATTTTCTATACTTCTATTTTTTTAAAAATTTTTTTATTTTCTTTTGCTTTTTTACAAAAAGATAATAAATATTCGGGCTTACTAAAATACACCATAGGTGTTGAACACCATAGTTGCTATATCTCAAAAACGTACTAGCTAACACATCTCTGGGGCATTAAGTAAAAATGTTCAGAACCCCCCAAAACCTTATGCTAACTAAAATTTGGCCCTTTATATCTAACCCCTATCTTACTCTAAGGTTGCACCCTAATCCTAAATTTTCGCCAAAAACATATTAACACCAACAACTATGGTGCATTTTATAATTACTGATAAATATTAGTGTTATATTATAAAATAGTAATTAAATATATTTTTTAATACTATAATATATTTATACTATTAAACTGGTATTAGCAAATCATTTATAGATACTTATAAATACAGTACTGTATTATCTCTTTCGCATCTAAGATTAGTTACTATCAGCTTTCTAAGATAGGATAATATTTTTAGTTAACACAACGCAAAATGTCTAATAATGAGCGAATTAAATTTTATAGGATTAGTATGATTTGTTGGAAAATTAGCTAAATCTTAATTTAAAATTTTAAGATGCGAAAGAGATAACAATTATATTGTAATGGAATATCAAATAATTGAACTTTACGAAAATATCTACAGAATAATAAAGTAGAATTGCCAGAAAAAATTCGATTAGTGAATCAAATAGCTGAAGGAATATTTTCATAGCATAGATATCACACATAGTGAATTAGTAGAGAATCTAATTTTATTCAATCGTTATAAGCTTTGAAAAATTATTATTTTATAAGCATATTTTCCGTAATTTTTTGCACACTTCAAAATATTCTTATCCATAATGAAATGAAATTTCAGATTTTGGACTTTCAAAACAATCTTAATAGTACAGGAACAATCAGCTGTAAAAAAATTTATGAGGTAATCCCTTTTATTGATCCTCGTATATGATAAAAAGTCTGACGTATGCAGTATTAGTGTGCTGATGTGGGAGATTTTCAGCAATGGAAAGCTTCCATTTAGTCAATGTTGCAATAACAATCCTATTGGTCTCTTAATTACAATTACTAAAGGTTCGCATGAAAAACCAATGGTAAACGATAAATAAAATGTTGAGATTACTAATCAAAGAAACGGTCTTCAATGACAGAAGATTTTTAACAATAAAATTCTTTGGAATTGGATCCAGATTTTTTAAACATGCTGACTCTAAAATGATGGTACAATTTATTCAGTATCGGGATTAGGTATCAGGAGCAGTTCACGTTCAGTACCGGAAACAGGCAAAAATTCGTATATTATCGATCGTTATTCAAACATTATAAATTTTAATTATAAAATAGAGATCAATGAATAAATTTGCACTATACATAAGATGTATTATCGATTTAGTAATATTGTAGTTTTCCTTATATTAAAATCTAATCTGATTCAGTTTTTCCAAATATTAATTAAAACAACACTTTTTCCAAAAGTATCGCCTAGTCCTTTAGACGTAGTTATTATAAATACGGTATAAAAACATAAGCAATTTGTAACTATCTCATCTGACACATTATGTACAATATCGAAATTTATTCGTAATATGCAAAATCAGTGATGAAAAACTAAATCAACAGTGATAAAAGAAGCTAATGAGAAGTGAGTAACTTAAATACATTGAAATTGAATAACAAATAAAACAAAAAGAAATAGCATATAAAGAAATGGATAAAATATAAAGAAAAGGTATTAATAATGGTCACGAAGGAACGTGACGGTGGCAATAACTTCATTGAGATATTGGATAATTTTATTAATGTAACCTAGATTTCGATATATTCCGATCCAGAATTTTGGGTCATTCGGTATATGTGTTTAAAATAAGCAAACATGTTGGTTATTTCAAAGTAAAATAATTTATGCTATCGTTGATATGATAAAAATTAATTTAAATAGCACAAAAATTTAGAATAATGTGAAGTGCTTAAAAAATGCCATGCCATATCAATAATAAAGCGTACAACACGTGACTCACTGCCTTAGTTAGCCCGCTTAAATAGGTGAATCTGTTTAATAGCGTGCAAAATTATATTCTCCACTTGGATGGCTATATTGTGGCATTGAATTATATACAGCTGAGGTATATGTCAAGTGTGAACTATCGTATTGAACTATATTTTACATTAAAATGAAAGATCGAAAATCATTTTAGATACACTTTTTAACAGCGTTTGACTTTAATTCAAGTGATAATAGTTGATATCTTTAAATTTAAGAAAATATAAATTTATGCCTACAATCTGATTCAATAGGTGGTGGATACGAACTACTTGCAAGTTGATAATCTATGTTTTATATCAGGAAATTTTAGAATTAATTCAGTATGCCTGATGTTCAAAATATACTTTGCCTTGAAGCAGCATATGTACTTTGTAGCAGATTTGAATTCACATCATCAGAACTTGCTGCCGTTTTAAACGGAAACGGGATCATATTATGACCATGAAATGCTATGTATCCAAAAATTTTATTAGCAAATAGAAAAAACGATTATTTTGGATGATGCATAAAATAAGAAATATGAATTTTTTTTTAAAACCTGTAAATCTAATTTCTTCTACCACATCTGTTTCTGAATATATATTAAATATATAATCTCAGGTCATTTTTAGTAGAAATCTTACGCAATATTATGTGAATGATTCAATTATATTTGCCATTATCACGTTGATTGTCCCAATGTTGTTGGTAATTTCTTTCTTCCCAGCAACTCCACTGTTGATATTCCTGACTTAATACGGATGTTAGATCCTGAAAGTTTCTCTGAGAGGCAACGATTGCCATTTCTTGATGTTGCGGACCTATATATATCCAAAATACAGTAGTTGAAATTTTCATGAATAAAAAAAAAAGTTGCGTGCTGTTATTCCGGCCATAGAAATTAATTAATTGTTTTTATTACCACTCGATCTCATTGCACGAAATTGTGGCAAATCTAGAGGCGCCAATAATTGATTATTCGGATTATTTCCTACATTTTATAGTGAATACAACATAAAGAAAGTTTGTTTCACAAATTAAATTCTCAAATTTGAATATATGAATATATATAATCAGTTTTTTTTTTTAAACAACAAAAAATTTATATGTAGTTTTAAAAGGCCTGCTTTAAACCTTATATCTTTATGAAACCAAAACAAATCATATATGTTATAATAACTGTCAAGTTTCACTGCATGTAACATGAAAGGTTGCACGATTAATTACCTTCAGATATATTTGTATTTCTTAATTGAAATGGCATAGCAGAAGCACCACCAATTGACGTGGCAAGAGTTCCACGAATTGACGAGTTAAGAGCACCACCAATTGATATGTTAAGAGCGTCACCAACTGATGTAGTAAGGACATCATCAACACATGTATCATGGACGTTATCAGCTAATGTAAAAGGGAAACTAGTTGATGCAGCGGGGAAATTAAACGATGGACCAACTGATGTATCTGGTGCATTATCAACTAACATAGGAGGTGCTGTAATGAGGGCACTATCAGTTGATTCAGCAAAGACATCACCAATTAAAGTAATCGAAGCACCACCAACTAATGTAACGGAGGCATCATTAACAAGTGTAGTGGGAGCATTACCAACTAAAAACGTATAGTAAATATAAATATGTTATCGAATAAAAATAAAATTTTCTTTATTACCTCGTGATGATCCTGTTTCGAAAATAAACAGTATTAGTAGGAATTCAGAACAAAATTTGATTATTATGTAAACTTCATTGTGTTATGAAGAAGTGAAGGTTATGTGCATAAATCATGCACATCTAAACACAAAAGTCAACATTTTTCTAAATTATTTAATTTCAGTTCCTCCTTGTTACGCATCAATATCAACTCTCATGCTTTGTCAAATTAACGATTCAGAAAAACTGATACTTACTCCTTATAGCAAAGAACGTCTCTGCAGAAGATCCATTACATGTATGGGTACATCTTTTATGCTTTCGGCGGCAAATATCGCAGGCTCTTCGAGCACGACTTATTTTCATGCTAGATTAATTTGTCGAAAGAATAAAATGTGAGAAAAAAGTTAACGAAAAATTTGCATTCTTTATTCTTTTATAATATTTATATATGCTGTTTAATGGCGGGTACAATTACCAGTCGGAATTCAATTATTTGTTTACTATCGGAATGACATATGCTAATAATATATATTACATATAATGGTATATTTTACAGGTCTAGATGTGAGCAAAATTTTGAACAATGAAATTTAAATATCAGATCAAAAATTTTACGTACTTGGGAGCTTTTAATGTCAATTTTACTTTATATATACATATATATTTTTTAATTTAATTTGATCTTTTCAATAATATAAAGATTTTAATATAATAAAATATAATAAAATGTTTATTTAATCTACTGGGATTTGTATAACATTAAGTGTAAAATTAAAAGTTAAATTTCAAAGAACATTATTTATAAAGCTTTTTTTATTCATATAAAAATAATAAAATTACAGTATTTAAATAAAAAAAATAATAATAAAATAATAGCTGCGTAGTTTATATATGAGTTATTAAATAAAAAGTAGGAAATTTATACAGTATTAACAAAATTTGCAATTTAGACTTATTCTTATTCTAACGAATAACGCCCATTGTCATTAAAAACAAAAAAACGTAGATAAATAAAGCTGATAAACAACATTCCTAATTCGTAAACTAGATGATCGGGAATTACTCTATTTTTTATACTGTATAGCAATTCTGTATGCCTAACCCTTATCCTAATAGCTACATAAACTAGCCAATCAATTTACCTATTGTACAGTACAAATTTTTATTGTCCGAACGAGTTGTTGAAATCCTTTCAAACTTTATATTAAAATTTAAACATATAAGAATCTTTATTAACATAAAATTTATTAAATATCTCCACATGGCATAATGTAGAAAGTAAATTAGGCAAATAAATGGCATTCATAGCATAATCGTTACCTAGTTTAAGTGATCGCATCTTACGAATGATTAACATTAACGTACTATTTATCATATTTTTCAATCAACAATTACATTACTCGCCAATAGTCATATTTAATGACATTCCCTGTGTATTCTATTATTATTATTGACAATCAGCTGGTTATATATTTGTATTATCCGACGTTGTTTGTTGCATTTATCCGCAATGTACGATGTGACACTAGTGGGCGTTGTCGGAACAGTTGTCCGAAAATAACCGTGCGAATAAAAGACACTGCAAATTGTAATTAAAAAATTGCAAGTTTAACTTGTTTGATTAAATGATTCTGTTTTAATAAAGATTTAATAAAGATAAAATCAATATCTGGCTGAGTTTTAATGCAATTTGCACCTCATGTCGTCACTTTTTTAATTATATTGTATGGAACCAATTTTTACGATTGGTAATTTCGCGCCATTCAGGTTTTTCACCGGATACAGTTTAATATATGCATTTCGTTATCTGAAATTAAATAAATTTAAAATTTTACGTTAAACAAAAATGACGTAATTAGAATTTTATTCAAAAATGATTTGCACCCGATACACTACTTCAAATCTTAGCCTTTGTATCACTTCACCGTTAATGCTATTTAAAAATATTGCTGTTTATTTATCCTACCTGTAAGTGATGTGTATTAGAAAAAAATGTGTTAATCTTCAATTTTTGCAATTTCATGTTTTAGATTAACTCTTACTTCACAATTAACCAAGAGTCAAGATCAAAAGTTAGGATTTATTTATATCGGTTATTTGATGCTAGTAATCTGAGATTAAGACCATAACTTTAAGGCCGTTATGCAATTTTGTTTAATTTGCTGTTAGTAAAATTTGGATGTCGTAAAAAGAAACCCGAACCAGTATACCGTTTTAGAGGTTGCTGATCATGTGACATTGTGTCAAGATGGCGTAGTAACTTGGTCAAAATATATTTTTAATATTGCGCAGTGGCTAACAGTTATGTCACTTAAAGCGACTATTAATTAAATAGCTCAATTTAGAAACTTCAATTTTTAAAAATATGTATAATATTAATAACTACCGAATAAACCGTGCTTATGGTACTGGAACAAAATTTTATTTGAGATGATTAATTAGGTATTTTGCAATTCACCTGACTCTGACAGTTCAAAAACTTAAAATCAAAATTCCTGAATAATCGTTATCTCGAAAAGTCAAGAGCCTAATAATTCAAGATTTTGATGGTTTATTATATAAAGTTCTAAAATGTGTATCCCTATAAAAAATTTTCGAAAAACGTATCCGGCTTTCTCCAGATTATCGTTCCATTATCGTTCCGGATAATGCTCATTTTTCGGAACAAAACATATATCAATTCCTGTCTCATTTCCATAGAATCCTAATAAATTCTGGATAAAAATCAAATACTGATAAGATTCAGTTTCTAATCACAATGAAGTATATACAAAAAGATTAGAAGCCGAATCTTGCCAAGATTTAATTTCTACCTGCAGATTACCGGGATTCTATGGAAATAACCAGGAATTTGTGTGGTTTGTTCCAAAAATGAGCATTTTCCGAAACGATAATGGAACAATAATTTAAAAATTTTTTTATATGATTTCCTGTTATAAACTTTTTATAAAACTTCAATTTATTAAAAAAAAAACAAAACCTAATTATAAACGGGAGAAGCAATGCGTTACTCAATTTCTTTTATTGATAATTGTTTTTCTTTATTAGATTAATCCAATACCTTTTATTTGCAATGGTGTACGTGAGCATGACCGAAGTTTTTATCACGAATTAAGATTACACGGATTTTTAATAAAGATTGCGTCATATGGCACACAAAAAAAACCGTACGTTTACCTTGAAACTTTGTCAGGCTATTCTAGAGTTTCAAAGAAAATGTTTTGTGAAAACCCATCCCACTGATCTCTGGAGTTGCATACCTTTCATAAGAGGCGACTACGAACGTATAAGTGCATATTCAAATGTATTTATTGACCTCTAAATGAACATGCAGTACGTACCAGTTAATGGTTGAACTCTTTATTTTACATAATACGTTTTGTTATTTGTAATAGTTAGAGAAATTGCATAATTTTAAGAGCTAGGTAGATTGTTAAATATAAAGTTTGTAGTTTAAGAATATATAAATTTATCGGTATGTGTTGTAGGTAGATTCGGAATCTTGTGAATTCTGAATCCACTTACAGCTATTATTATCATAATTCCTGAAACACCTGATAAAAATTAGCAGAATGATTTTTGGAAGGTTCGATTGTGATTTCGGCATGATCGGTACAAAAATAGACTTTTACTAAAACCCACCAATGGTATTTTACACTGACTTATATATTTTTTCAATAATATCCTGGCTCAACCCTCTCACATTATTTTTGTCAGGAGGAAATTTGTAACTAGTTAGTACATGAAGTAACATTGGGAAGATTGTAGATCAAGGAACCCATTGATATATTCGTGGTCATCACATCACATGATTATCATTCGGTCTAAGTTAGGGTTAGTATTAAGTTAGGTGATAATGTAGTTTAGGCCAATTTGTTAGTGCAAGTAAACAAACACGTCATTGCATATGTGATGACACGAATATATCACTGGGTTCCTTAATCTGCAAGTGTCCCCGTAACTTTGTTACGCAAAATTCGATTGGAAACTACGGCCATGTCTAGGTCCATACCAATTCGAGGAGTATACCTGTATGTATAAGTCCACCCTTGAAAAGCGATGAAGAACTACTGGAGCAGATAGGGGAAGCGAGTAGTTCTGAGACTGTGTAAGATAAGGTGTGTACACCACATTAGGAGGTATTTCAGTACGACAGCAAAAAAATTCCACCAATCTAGAAGTTTATATGGTATATGGTGAATACACTATACAAAACAAAATAGTATATAAATCCTGATATGCTAACAGTAGGGTTAGATATATCAGATAGGGATATGCATTGTGAATAAAATAGTTCTGAGCTGGAGTCTTATTTGTATAAAATAGTTATCACATAATCTGTAATTCTATTATATCATTTATAAAAACTTATAGTAAAAGATGCCACCCTTAAAAAAAAACTAGTTAGTACATTATTAGCCCAGTAAATTATTAATAAATACACTGCTTTTTTTATTATGTGTACTAATATAACAGAAAAGAATTTTAACAGTTTTTAAATACTGCCAGAATAGTACTCTTTATTAGCAACCCAGTTAGTTATAGCATTTTAAAGTTTATATTGAAGTTTTTTATAATTTAAAAAAAAATTTTAATTACTAAGAAAATCTTGACTTTATAATTTATTAAGTAAAATTTAAACTACTATAGCAAAATTCTTGAGTATTATCATTTTGTTGAGTTGTTTGTAGAACAAATCAAGCAGTCAGTGTTGTCATGGGACAGTTGTGGACAGTAATTTTGGACACTTTGAACAATTTTAAACAATTAAATAAATTAAAATTACTTAAAATTTTATTAAGATAACCTATATTATTTTCTAAATAAAATATGTTTAGCATCTATAAAATATATAATTATATATTTTTAAACAAATTTATTAATTATATATTTTTAAACAAATTTATTAATTATATATTTTTAACAAATTTATTAATTATTAAAGCTTGAACATGCTCTGGACACTTGTGGACACTTGGAAACTTGGACGTTGAACAGTGCCAAAAAAGGCTTTGGACAGTCAAAATGTACATCACGGTAAGCAAATTGATCTGATTTTCATTTTTATCAATATTTTTATTATTAGATTTATCATCAATTTCACTATTTTTATAGTTAATCATCATTATTATCTTCATGGCTTCTTTTGTTTATATTTGCTTCAGAATTCTTATTACATAAAAAGTTAAATATTGTATTATAAAATGCAAATATAAAATAAATATATATATTGCTATATTATATGTCTATACTATATAATATCTTATAATATTCATAGCAGCTTAGACATTTAAACTAGCATTATTTAGTTTTGGAGATATATATTTGTGAAAAAAGTAGTTTATAATTCTTCTTTTACCGCAATAAATAATTGTAACTAGATATTTAAAAAAGATGGTTTGTGGCAAAAAGCTTGTAAATTGAAATGACAAACTCGTTTAAACGTTTTTTTTTATTAATGAAATTATTTTATTTACTTAATAAATTTATCAAATATGACTATTACTTAAATATTCTTCACAATAACAAACGCATTTTCCCCCTTAAAATATTTTCCGCTAAGTAAAATTTATTCACAGACACTTTTGACCCATTGATTAAGGCGTTTGAGAACGCCTAAGCCATAAATTACTCTATTCAACCGTATGAGGCATATTTGAATCCGTTGTAAGAGGCATTACTTCTTTAGTATTGAACAAAATTAATAATTTTTCATTAGATGTTGATTTACTATTGTATTCGTTTATTAGATCATCTATATTTGGTTGGCTTTTGTTAGTGTAAATATTATTTTGTTCATTTTGTTCATTTTGTTCACAGTGTGTCTGGCTTTTCATCATTTTAAATCTTTCATCGGACTTGGTCAATTCCAATAAGATTTGTTCATTATTTTGCCATTTCGTAAAAATTTCTACAATTTTAACTGCGGATGGACGTCTTTCCGGATTTTGGTCCCAACATTGTCGCATTAAACTAACATAACATGTTTCTGTATCTTCAAAAATTGGTGGTCTTAGTTCATCAAGCACTATTTTTATTTGTAATTGTGATCTAAAGACTTTATCATAATGCGTAGATATTGGGATTCCATGTAAGATTTCCCACATAATCATACTAAATGAGTAAATATCTGATGCTGTAGTATATGATTGTTCTGTCAAAGCTTCTGGAGCTATATAAGGTAAAATTCCACAAGACTCTACTTTTGTATCTATGTTAGTCGATATTGAAAGTCCTAAATCTGCAATATATGCGCTATGCAAACTGTCTTGTAAAATGTTGCCGCAATGTAAATCTCGATGAATAATTTCTTGAGAATGAATCGTTTGAAGATCAGAAGCAATACAATGCAATAAATTTATTTTATTTTTCCATTCCATTTGTACTACAAAGAATAGATTTTCACGCAGAGATCCCATTGGTGCAAAATCCAGAACAAGAATATAATTTTTAGAAATATCATCTTTTGATATTCCATGGCACCTTAAAAATGGTGGATTTTCATTTACAATATCACAATATGATTTTAACTTTAAAAATAATATATTGTTTAGTTATAGTTTATTGAATTTCAAGCATGTTAAGCACATAATTAAAATTACCTCTTTTATAAATTCTTCATGATACTTTTCTGAGTCATGAATCAACTTAAGCGCAACAGGTCGTCTAACATCTAGGTTTGGATCATCCCACTCAGCACGATAAACTGTCGCAAATCCACCTTGCCCTATATTTTTTACATATTTAAATTCGTCATAAGGAATCCAAGATAATGGATACTTGATTTCAGCTAATATTGTTTTTAAACTATCATCAATTTCCGAACTGTTAGATATTCGGCTATTTTTTTTTCCTGAAGAAATTTTATTGTTAGATTCAAACCATTTGACAAATAAACAAAATATTTAATCATAATTAGTCACTTGATATTTGTTTCAGTTCCCTAAATAATTTTTTTAACGTTTATAGTTATTAAAAAATAAATATGCGTACATATTATAGTAATAGCGTAATTAGTAGATGATGCCATTCATTAGCCTTCTGTAAGTCTCTTATTGTCCCAATTCCATTTCGATAATATCTTCCAACACGATGCATTCCGGCAGAACTACCCATCTTTGCCGATTTTTGAAGATAAATGAATGCCTTATGTTCATCCTTTTCAACTCCAATTCCATAACGATAACAACTTCCAACATTAAATGTTCCACTAGCGTCCCCCATCTCTGCAGATTTTTG